GTTGTAATAACATTTTGCTCTCTTCATGGATACTAATTTTTTTTTTCTATTTTCTTGTTATGTACTGCCAAATCGGATCCAACTGATACAGGAGGAAATTGCCCCTCCTTCTCCAGTGGAGCATCTGGTGGATTCCATCTGCATACCTTCAGGATTGCAGCACAGTTTCTTGCCACTAAGCCACCAGAGCTCCTTTCTTAAATTATATTCTTGATGTCATCTCAACTCCTTTGGTATTTGATCATTTGTGTTCAATGCTTCAAACCTGCTCTTAAAATGATTTTTAAATTCAGGTGGGATACAATCCAAAGTGATGTTTAGGTTCTCTGGACTTGTTTTCCTTTTCTTCAGCCTCGATCTGAACTTGCATGTGAGTAATTGGTCTTTTTCACAGTCAACACCTTGGTTTTGACTGCCGAAACTATCTCCAATGATTCTTTCCACAGATATAGTCAACCTGATTCCCATGCAGCCCATTAGATGAAGTCGATGCATAAAGTTACCATTTTCTGTGGTTTTTTTAAGGGTCTTTTCAATGAGTATCCAACATTAGATCATTCTTTTTCTGGCATAATTTCTGTCACCAAGTCTGTACTTTCTGACTATCATTCCTTCATTATTTCCAACTTTTGTATTTCAGTTACAAACTATAATTCCTGCATCTTGATTGCATGTTGATCAATTTCAGACAGCAAAATTGGTAAAAACCTTCAATTTCCTCCTCTTCAACTTTAGCTGTTGGTATGTATGTTTGAATAATAGTCATATTAACAGGTCTTCCTTGTATGCACATAGGTAGTATCCTATCACTAGCAGCATTGTTCTTCAGGATAGAACTTGAAACTATCTTTTTTTTTTTTAACTATCTTTTTAACCATGAACACAACATCATTCTTCCTCTGTTTTTCATTCCTGGCATAGTATACTATGTGACTGTCTGGTTCAGAGTGGCCAATGCCTGTCTCTGTCTCTCTCATTAATATCTTCTATTTCATTTTTAACAACTTCTAGTTTCCCTACACTCATACTTTGTGCAGTCCACATTCCAGTTATTAAAGGATGTTTGCAATTGTTTCTCCTCATTTTGATGGACTTCCAATCTTGACTCTACTTCTAATACCATGTCTTTCCTTGCTCCTCTATTGGATTTTCTGAGGACTGCTATTTCAGAAGTGGATGGCTAATGCTTCTTCTTAGTCTATCTTAATCTAGGAACTCTGCTTAAACTTGTCTACCATGGGTGACCCTCTGGCATTTGACACACTGGTGGCACAGCTTTCAGCATTTCAGCAACTCACAAGTTACTCCCGTACAGCAAGCTGGCAGACAAGTGCTGTACTAAGAGCAAATTATAAACAAGTACGCATATATACACCTAAGCTATAAAGTAATTGTTGTTGTCTGTTGTATAACTTTGAGTTGGAACTTAACCATAACTTACTCTCTTCAGACAAAGTTTATCACACAGGAGGAGATTGCCCATCCTTCTCCCATGGAGCAGGTGGTGGATTTGAACTGTGTTTCTTTGGGCTTGCATCATAGCTTCTTGCCAATATGCCACCAGAGCTCCATAAAATAGCAGTATGCAAATTGTTTCCATTATTTAATAAACTGACAAATAATGTTGTACTTCTTAACAGTAAATCAGGCATGCCAGTATCATGGTGCAGGGCTCAGTTGAGGCCAGTGGTAGCAATGTAAGGATGGGGCTCCACATGAGTGCTGAAGAGTTCTAGTTGAGGCCCCCAGTTGGCACAGAGGTAACATCCTGGATGTGATTATTAAACTCACCACAGTGGCTTTTCAAGACCTTCAGTACTGGCTGGTGTTCCACACAAGTGGTGTCAAAATGACTGTCTTCTGGTGCCGATCCCTCCCTACTCCAGGCCTAGAGCCTTGGCAAATGCAAACAAAGCAGAATGTTTGTTGGAATGTGTCATTTTGTCTGACATTCAGGCCAAAAAAAGCATAAACTAAGGCAAAAATGATAGCTTTGTAATGTTAAAGATTATACTTTTAAATGAAGGTAGAAAATGTTAAGTACCAAATAAGTTATATAATGAAAACATTAAAGGAAAGAATGTGGACTAATGATATTGTAGCCCCCAAACTGACCTTCACGCTCTAATGTCAGGAACACTGTATGTCCTCAGGGACTGACAAAGGACATTCCCGTCGCCTGAAATTCTGTTTTCCCTACCAGACAACAGTACATATCACAAAGTGATTACAATCACAAGATTGTGGAATCACCAAAAGAGTATAAAGACAAATTAGTGAGCAGAATAGGAAATAAAAATATAGAACTAAGAATCTATGGAGATTTGACATGTTATCCAGATATCATCTCAAAGAAGATAGGGAAAGAAAAAAGATTTTTTGTTTTTATCCACTTTATTTTGTATTGGTTTGCATGCAAAATTCGTATACACCATGTATCATTCATGTACATTGTGTTTCACACATTCTTACATTCACAATGTGTTTCAAAGGATCATTCATGTACATTGTGTTTTATAAAATTAATCACTATTGGTCTCTGCCTATTATTACCCTGTTTCTTCAAATCCCCACTGGATCTTTCCTAATTCTTTCACCATGGAGCTCTGTTCTCCTAGTGATTTCCTCCCTTTCCCATCCTCTGACTCCCCTACCCCCCTTCCTCTTCCTCTTTTGGACTTTTATCCATTGCTTAATAGTTACCCTTCTAGTTTTACAATAATAGTCTTATGCAGTATTTTTCCTTCTGAGATTGAGCAAGTTCATTCAACATAATGCTCTCTAGTTCCGCCCAAGTTACATAGTAATTTTCAAAGTCAGTGCTCTTGAATGCTGCATATTATTCCATTGTGTGAATGTACCATAATTTCTCAATTCATTTAGTTATGGTTGGACATCTGGGCTGTTTCCATGTTCTTGCGATGGTGAATAACACTGCTATGAGTATTGGTGTACAAATCTCCATTTGTGTCTCAGTTCCCTTTTCCTTGGATTATATAGCTAGCAGTGCAATAGCTGGATCATATGGAATTTCTATGTTCAACTTTTTGAAGAAACGCCAAACTTCCTTTCAAAGTGGTTGTACCATTTTACAATTTCACCAGCAGTGCATGAGAGTTGCAATTTCTCCTCATCCTCTCCAATATTCATTGCTTGTTGTCCTGTCAAACTTTGCTACTGCTACTGGAGTTAGATGGTATCTCATTGTGGTTTAGATTTGCATCTTTCTTATTGCCAGTGATTTTGAGCATTTCTTCATGTGTCTATTGGCCATGTGAATGTCTTCCTTTTGTGAAAAGTCTTTAAAAGGAAAGCTTTTAACAAGTGTTTTTACATAGATATGATGGAGGTATATGTGCTGTCAGGGTGCTAAGGAATTGTACTGCCAACACAAAGAAACAGAGTTCAAAACCACCAGCTGCTCTGTGGAAGAAAAATGGACACTCTCCTCAAGTGCAATTTACTGCCTCTGAAAACTCATTGGAGGGGCAGCTATGGGCCAATTCTGACTCATCAGCACTAAACAACAACATTTCGCAAGATATCTTAGGTTTTTGCAGCTAACCAAAGGTCAGTTGTTCGAATTCACCAGCTGCTCCAAGGGAGATTGATGGATTTTGTCCTCCCATAAAGATTTACAGCCTTGGGAACTAGTGGAGGGTCCCTATGAGTCAGAATCAGCTTGATGGCAGTGGGCAATAGATATTTGTGGTTGTCAAAACTGGGAGATGCTACAGGTATATTCTGGGAGGCCAGAGATGTTGCTAAATATCTTAAAAGACACCCAACCTCCCTCCCCAACAAAGAATTATCCAACCAAGGTGTCAGTAGTGCTGATACTGAGAACATTCGCTATAGAGGAGGGCAAACAGAAGCCTATTTTTATTTTATTGACTGACTCCCAAACATTCCCCAAATATGCTAAAGCATCTCTTATTAACTATAAAACAATTTACTCCTGGGCCTCCACAAGAAAAAGACTGATGCCTTAATTACAAAATGGGCAAGAGACATGCAAAGAATTTTCATAGAGGAAGATATTCAAATGGCCAATAGACATATGAAGAAATGCTCCAAATCACTGGCAATAGAGATGCAAATCAAAACCACAATGAGATATAATCTGATTTCATTAGCAGTGGCAAAGTTTAGCAGGACAGCAAGTAATAAATGTTGGAGAGGATGTGATGAGGTAGGAACTCTTTTATATTGCTGGTGGGATTGTACAACCATTCTGGAAAGCAGTTTGGTGCTTCCTCAAAAATCTGAACATAGAAATTCCATATGACCCAGCTATTCCATTGCTTGAAATATACCCCAAGAAAATGAGAACTGAGGCTCAAAAAGAAATGTGTACACCAATGTTCATTTCATAGCAGCATTATTCACCATTGCAAGGCTATGGAAACAGCCCAGATACCGAACCACAAGCGAATTGAGAAGTTGTGGTTTATTCATACAAAAGAATACTATGCAGCACTCAGGAGCAATAATTTTGTAAATTACTCCCTAACTTGGGAGGGACTGGAGAGCATTATGCTGAGGGAACTAACGTAGTCCCACAAGGATAAAAACTGTATAAAACCATTATTGTAGAATGAGTATAGGATCTGAGATGGGGTGGGGGGAAGGTGGAAAGAAAGGAGAGAGGATGGTTGGTGGGGGTAAGGTGTTAATCTTAGGTTTGATGGGTGGGTGGAGTGAAGGAAATAGGAAGGATCTTTTGTGAAAAACAATGTATTCAAACTTTGTAAATAAATAAGACTAAGGGGGAGAAGACTAAATAAAATGGAAACATATAAAACTAAAAAGAATGTAAAAACTAACTTATCATCAACAATAAAATCTTATCTATAGGAAAATCTGTATCTACTATAAAATTAGTTGCATGAAGGAACTTTACAAAGGAATAATTTAATAGATCTTTAACCAGCAAGGAAATAGAAAATAACTTCTGATTGTCACAAATTAATGTTAAGTGTGTCCTTGTCCTTTCCCAGCCCCTGACTCTGTTCCAGATTCAATTCCTGAATGCTGTTGGAGATCTATTGGACCTGATTCCCTCATTCACTCTTCCAAAATCTGGTAGCCTGAAGCTTTTTAAGAATATGGAAATGGGACATTGCTCTGCTCTCATAAAGGTAAGCTACACACAGCAGCTCCTCCAACTCCCTCTTTCTGGTCCACATATACTCTTTTTGTAGGTTACCTAAGTCTTGGCAACATTTCATCTTCCTTCCATGTAGCTTGATGCCAGCTCCTGGGTTCCTGCATCATAGAAGTGAAGAACTAGAAAGAACTTTCATGGAGGAAATTAGAAATACAAGATATTGCCACTTCCATGCAATTACACTTGCCACTTCTACTGTCTAGAATATTCCATTGTGGACTTTAAAGGGTAGATTCTGACTGGTTTGTGAAGTATTTATGTTATACTCTTTAGTTATGTTTTCCAATAATATATGTAGCAATATTCACTTAAGTTTTGAGGGAAAAGTTGCCGAAAAATTCCTGAATGGACACAAGTCCTGTATGCTTCCTCCACTGAAAACTGTACTCAGTTGCCTACATGTCTTTATATCATCTGCTCTTCACTGTGATTCCGGTCATAGGTTCTCCCTGGATTTGAGAATATCTTTTTTGCTCACTCAAGCTGGTACACGTATGCAGCCATGCTGAGGATTTATAAACACTGGGACTTCAACATCAAAGATACAGAAACCAGCAGTAGCCGCCTGTCTTTCAGCAGTTACCCAGGTAAAGAAATTTAGAAGTACATCTGAGTGAACACAGGATAAAACCTTGGTAATTGACAAAAACTCGTTTTTAACCTCGATAATTTATATTCTTTTTGTCATCTCACACCATTTCTACTAGACTTTCTAGAACTCACTGTTCTTCTTCCCTATCCCATCTTGGTACTTCAGCTTCATCACAAAAGGACAAATATTACATGATGCCACTGTTGTAGAATGGGACTGTCCTTGGGGTTGGGGAGAGACTGAGTAAGATGGGTTCAATAATGTATACTGCACTGAAACAGAGGAGGGAGAGAACCGTTTAAAAGAGAGATATAACTGGGTATTTCTGTCATCACAGGAGACTAGAGCGAGGGCTATATGGTGGAGGGGACCTGGGGGAGGGTTTGTAAAACAATGAAAGAATCTTTTCTTTAAAAAAAAAAAAATAAAGGCAAATGGGAGAGCAGAGATTTTTTATTTCCAGTGACCAAAATTGACAAAGAAGCCTTTGATTTAGGCCTGATATAATTGAGAATAAACGGTGTATGTTCATTAATATATGCCAGCTCTGTGAGATGCAGAGGGTAGAGGTGAAACTACAGGGTTGCACAGGTCAGTGAGTGGAAGGAGGGAGGGAAGGCAATGGGAAGGATTTGGGTGAAAAGGCAGAGTAATGATGGGCAGGGTCCAATGCTGATTAATTTTATAAAACATAATGTATGAGAATGATTGTATAAACAATGTGAATGAGGAATAGTGTGAAACACAATGTATATGAAGCTTGTAAGCAAACCAATTTAAAAAAAGAATTAATCTCTACAGATGTGATAGAAGTATGTTCAATGTCAAGAAGTGGTAATTGAGAAGAACTTGAATGGAAGTAGAAATGTTTGGTAGTTGTATACATTAATGACAATTCGGATTTGTAGATTTCATTTTGAAGAAATATCACCCTAATGCTTTTATGTAATGTTGTTGTTGTTTACCATTGAATTGGAACCAACCCGTGGCCGACCCTCCAGCGGGTTTTCAGAGGGGCAGTTTATCACATGGGAGGAGATTGCCCATCCTTCTCTTAAGGAACAGCTGGTGATTTCGAACCACACTTACCACTAGGCCACCAGAGCTCTCTGTGTAATGTTGTTGTTGTTATGTAATACAATGACATAATCTGTCTGGTTTAATTGAATTGCCAAGGAGAAGACATGTAAATATAATGGAATCTTCTAAATACACTTCCAAATGCCAACTCTTTATTAAGTCTAAGGCACTCTGCTAGGTCCTTCCATAGAAGAAAAGATGAGGAAGAGACAGTGTTGGCTCGGGAATATACACACAGCACTTAGCCTACTGTGTGCCACCTAGTACTGTATACAGAGGTGCTAAATGAATGGGTGAGACTGTGAGTTTATAAACCTTACAATATAGTAAGAAGAAAAGATATGTAAAATGCAAATGAGAATAATGATAAGGTTCTGTCTGTATGCTACTGAAGTCTATCAAATATTAGGAGTATTCAAAAGAGGAAGAACTTGTATGTGATTATGTACATGAAAGGAAGTGTGGGAGAAGTTTGCCATTTGAGATGGACCATGAATGATGGCTAGAAAATCAGTTGGTAGACATAGATATGAAGAGCATAATAAGGGTTCAAGAATCCTGTGCTGAAAGAAGACAGGAAAGTGATATAAACTAATAAGACAGACCAGTATACAACACCAGAAAACACTAGGTTTTGCTAAGCCTAGAGCCACTGAGAGACTTAACTATTTAAGTCACACTGATTATGGTCTTCCAGGAATATGGAGACCCTTGCTTCCAGATGTCCTAAATTCTTGAGAGGAGATGGAATAAGAATTTAAAAAAAAAATGAACCCACTTTGAAAATTGAGTAGAGCATACCTGCTTGCTAGAATTGGCTCCTTGCCTCAACACTTCTGCCCTTTAATTCCATATAGATCATTTATGGGATGATCTTAACAGCCACCTGTTGTATCTGTCTGATTTTGAGACAGACACTGTTCCAGCTGAGTTCCAGTAACTCCTACCAGGCAATCTGAACAAGAGTACCAAAATATTTTTTTTTCTTTCCTTGTAATCTGATTTTTCCTTTGGAACTACTTTGTTTTTCTGTCTTAGTTTGCTTAATTATTTTAGGACAATAAAAGGATCTTTTAATTCTTTGATTCTTTTATATTCTGTTAGGTGGAAATTTAAGGATAATAAACTGAGACACATCAAGTCCTTTTCCTCTTATTTACTAAAAAATGTTATGTTCAGATGTTGATTCAACTGCTTTGCATTCTGAGTGGAAAATGGTATTTTTATAGACTTAACAATTCTGAGATTAGTTAAGAAGATCTAGATTGTTAGAAGACTTGGTGAGGTTATTAGAAGACCAAGAGGGATTTTTCTAAGACTCCTATGTTGCTATTAACATTTTGGGGGAAAAAAATAAAATACCCCCCCTTTTCTGGAACAGATAATTACATAGGTACATGGATAAATATTTTTAAAAGCAATTGAAAGAACAATAGATATTTTTTGCTCCCAAAATTTTTTTTCCTAACTGTGTAACTGCTTGTAACTGTAAATATAACAAAACAAACACATTATATAAATTACATTTAGATTTTGAAGAATTATTTTATTGAGAGATCAGCCTCATTGAATTCATCCAATTGCTATGCAACTAAGTTTGAATGAAGTTCATGTCACGTCAACTGCTGAGTCTAGAACAAAGCTAAATGGACTGTCTGTTTTTGATGGAGGGGTGTCATTATAGACTGAGCGAGTTTAGGAGTGTGGCACTGTTTTTGATTTGGAGAAGGTGCAACCTGTAGGCTCTTAAATTTGAACAACGATACTTAAAAATTCCTGACGCAACATAAAGATCAAGTCAAAAGAAACATTCTTGAATTAAGACACATGTTAAATGATAGCTGGGATGGTACAGCTATTTTACATTAAATATACAGATAACTGAAGATTTCATATGTAATTACCTATGTGAAGAAAAGATTATCCGGGAGGCTGGGCTGTTTGAGGAGAAATGTGGGGTCAAGATTGGTGGACGATTTATCAACAATCTGTGTTATGCAGATGACACAACCCTGCTTGCTGAAACTGAAGAGGACCTCAAGCACCTGCTGCAGAGCGTCAAGGACTGCAGCCTCCAATATGGATTGAGGCTCAATGTCAAGAAGACAAAGATTCTCACCACTGGACCAATTGGCAGCATCAAGATATATGGTGAAGAGATTGAGATTGTCCACAGCTTTAGTTTGCTTGGCTCCACAGTCAACACTCTTGGCACCAGTAGCCAGGAAATTAAAAGGCACATTACCATGGGAAAGTTTGCTGTTAGGGACCTCTCCAAAGTACTGAAGAGCAATGGTGTCTCTCTGGAGACTAAGGTGTGTTTGATACAGGCCATGGTCTTCAGAATCACTTGTTATGCATCAGAGAGTTGGACAATGACCAAGGAGGATAGAAGGAGAATTGATGCTTTTGAGCTGTGGTGTTGGAGAAGAGTATTGAGAATACCATGGACTTCTAGGAAAACAAACAGATTCGTCCTGGAAAAGGTTAAACCGGGTGGCTCCTTGGAGGCAAGGATTCTGAGGCTCTGTCTAACATACTTTGGACATGTTGTGAGGAGAGACCAGTCCTTGGAGAAGGACATCATGCTTGGTAGGGTGGAGGGACAGCGCAGGAGAGGAAGGCCCTCTATGAGGTGGATTGATTCAGTGACTGGGGTAATTGGGATGGGAGTGTCAGAGACAGTGCGATTGGCACAGTACAGAGTGGAGTTTAGGGTTGTTGTACATAGCATCGCTATGAGTCGCAAGTGACTCGACGGCACATAACAACACCAACCCAACAACAACAACAACATGGTCCCTCCTGTCAAATTTTATAAAAACAGTTCTCAAGATGATTGCCATAAAAAATATGAAAGCTCTAAGACACAATGATTCCACTTCCCAGGTTCTTTGGGATTCCATAGGAGGGGAAAAATCTAGCTTAGTTAACTGATAAGTGGCTCAACATATGAAATGCAAGTGTTTCACTTGTTTTTTTAATCTATAAAACAATACATATATTGCTAGACTGTGTTGTTTAGCACGTACAGACAACATATATAAGACAGGCACAGCTCCACCCTTGTCAAATTTGCAGTTAGTGAGAAATACAAAAAAATAAAAGCTTAACAACAAAATATGATTGTGCCCTGATAGAGAAGACTGGTCTGGGAGTGTCTAAGAGGAAATGCAATTTAAATTGAGGCACAAAAGGAGTTAGTCAGGTCAACCAAAATTAAGAGGCGGTAGGATGTATCTTATGAAGCTAACAGGAAGGCAAGCAAAAGTATGAAGAAAGCCATGGAGAGTAAATGGAGAGGAATTCAATAATATTAAAATGACAAGTGAGAGTAACAGGATTAGATTTGTATTTGAGAATTATCTGACGGAGGAAAGATGAGATGGCCTCCTCATGCAAGAGTGCAGGTGACGTGGACCTTGTAAATAAATGGTCAGTCGATTTAGGGGAGAAGCTGATATATAGGGAGAAGACTCTCCAAGAGGGGGGAAAAAGATGAATAAAATGACTGCTGAATTATTGCCGTATATCATGACGTGTTATGTGATCTTGCTGTCTTAGCCGGAAACCTTTAGGAGTAATTACCTAATAAGGTTGTCAGATGGGTGCTTCCAAAACTGTACTTGAGCATGAGAGAATAAAGGGAGTGACAGAAGTCTTTCCCACTACACTCCTGGCGTCATGAAGGACGCTGCCTCTAGCACACCTGGTTTTGCCTAAGCTAGTCTCACCCTCTGCATTCACTGCTGCCCCAGTTAAATTCATAAAAAGAAAATTAATTATAGCAAAGAAGCAGAGTTAATTTAAATGGTAATTTTAACACTGAAAAGGATTAGAGACAACTTTTTTTTTTACAGATGCAGTATGTTCTCAGTTTGTTGTAAAAGAGAGAGAGAGAGAGAGAGAGAGAAT